TTATTACACATCATTATTATCATTATTACGTACCACTGGGTAAGAATTCTATTCCTCGTCCTCTCCCATTTCCCTTTCTCCTTGGTATTCCCTATCGAGCTTTCTCTCTCCCTCCCCTCCATGATATTTAAACGAACGAAGATCATTGTAATATCCTTGGGGATTCGTATCCAAAGATCGTTGTTTCCTAATAACAGTGTCTGGCGCGCTTCTCAACAACTCGTCCGCCATATGATGGACGATGGGCACGGGCATCATTGCTGTCGCTGATCCCGTAATCAAAAACACCAATATCCATTCTTGCGATAACATTTCCCCTTTAGAGAAAAACATAATAATTCATCCTTTTTCCTCGTTTCTATAATTAATTAATACGATTAATAAAAACGTGACATCGTACATTTTTATCATCTCATCGATATATACAAGATACGTAAGAGTGAAAGAATCTCGAGAGAATTATATTCGACGATGGAAAAAATTATAAATATCGAGATTAAGGGCATCGGGAAGGATAATCGAGGCGGTAGTAAACACGTTAGAGTTTCATTTAATCAGCTTTAAATCGATTTCTTGAAAAAGGTCAGCGAAATCCGTTAACTGAAGACGTAGTAGCGAAAGCTGATGATGCAACAGAGATCGCTCTGTCCGATCGATCTTAGCTGCGAGAAATCGAGGCATTCGATAATTATCGCGTCTTCTCGGATAATTCATATTGGTATCGTTTTATACGATATACGTATACGAAATATGTATACGATAAGTCGAAAAATGAATCGATCGGAAAATATTAAATGCAACGCGATTTGTAAATGGATAAAACGATATATCGTCGTTGAAATTATTCTCGTTATTATTGAAAAAAGTGTTCCAACATTCTTCCAATATCAAGTTCAAAGATGACGCGCTCGATAAACGGAAAGATCAAAGTTATTTTTTATTATTTATTAATTTCAACGAAAGCCTTTGTTTTCCTTTGTTGTTCGTCGCCATTAAATCGATAAACGTTCCACGCGTATAATCAGTTTCAATCGCAATTTCATTGATATTCAATTTTAATTTTCACGCATTTCGAAATATTTCATTATATATGCTAGTTCAACAAATGCATTTATGTAGAATTTTAAAAAATACAGAATGAATAATAAATTATTGTGCATACCCGATCGACTATGATTGACAAATGGAAATATGTAAATATGTATTTGAATACTGAAACGTTGAATATTTAAAAATTGGTAATTCCTTATCAAAATATAATTGTCTCTTCAATTGTCTCTCGTTATCGCTGTTTTAAAAATAGAATAGTGATGTAAAAAAATGAATTTTATTTAATAATGATAATTTTTTTTTTCCGCACTCTTTTTTCATCGTAAGATATTCATTCATTTTCAACGTAAAAAACTTTCCCATCACGGTCAACGGTTATCTGCTGATCATTTATATACGTCACGATTGTAACAGATGGTGAAGCTAGACTTGTCGATATCAATTTCTTCGAACGCAAAAAAGCAATATATACAAGCATAATTATATCGTTTTATATGATTAAAAAAAAGAAAAAATTAAGAACGAAGAGAAACAAACAATTTATTAAACAATTTATCAACGAGTTAGAAAAAAAAAATAATAATAATAATAATCGAAAAACTCAAATTTATCTAATTTTCGTTACTTAATTATCGCCGATATTGCTCAACTGTTAATCAATGAAACTGAAGAAATTGAAGATTAATCGCAATTTGTCTTTGCGTGCGAAGCCAATTAATTTAAAAAGAGAAAGATTAAGATTAAAAAAAAAAGAGAGAGAGAAAAAAAGGAGGTGTCGTTATTTCTTTCTTTCCTTTTTTTCTTTCTTTTTTTAAACGACTTACTTGACTTACTCCTTAATTATTCATTCGAACACGAACCAATTTGTCTATTATCTTATTTATTTTACGTGTTCAACCTTCGTCCACAGCTTCGTCCACCACGTTGACGTGATTCCCTCCACGGGTTGCATGGATATCTTGCCTGGATCCGTTCTTTCACGATTACGACGATGACGCGGCCTTTTATAGAAGGGGTGGCCCGGGATCGATAGAAACGCGCATGGAATCAGCGTGGAGCAGAGCAACAAGTAAAGGCGTGTGGAGAGCGAATAGGTGGAAAATTATTGGGAACGCGTGCCGACTCGATGCGATTTCGTGCGGACCTCCTCGAGTTTGTTTCCATCCCGAGGAGATGGATATGGGCTCGTAACGGCGGCCTTGATTCGTTGAATCTATTCGTTCTCGGGAGAAATGAGAATTCTTCTGGGTTCGCTCGAAACGAGTCATCGGGGAATTTATCAATATCCAGATTCTTGCCATGGTTGAAAATCCACGGATTTCGTTCTCCTCGAAATTTGCGAAAATTAAATTACGGAATATTTATTGAATATTCCATAAATTTCCTTTTGGCTCCTTGGTTCGATTCCTGAAAAATGAAAAAAAAAAAAGAGAGAGAGAGAGAGAAAAGAGAAACAGAATGGATAGAATATTTTGAATTATAAAAGGGTCCCTTTATTATTTTTGTTTTTTAGCTACCGAAACTTCTTTCTTTTCTTATTTTCTTCCTTAGAGAGGAATTTTATGCTGGAAAAAGGGAAAAAATAATTGCGCATGTTTATATCAACACGAGATCACATTTATAAAGGAAATCCAATATCCGTCAATTTGAAAGATATTCGAAATTATCGACCACTGTTCGTTAAATTACGAATGAAAAATCGATCTCGAGAGAAATTCGAGAAATTTTCATGGGAGGGGGGGAGGGAGGAATTGTGAAAGACACAGAGGAGGGGGGGGGAGGGGGAGGGAGAAAGAATTATTAGACTCGACATGATTAGAACGATACCTTATCCACGATGTACAACGATAAGCGATTGGTTATCAATGATAAGATTTACTAACAACGTTCGAAACGAGCGAGCAGTATTCGCGAAAGAATTATCCACGGATGATTATAAGACGAAAAACGAGTTGTTCCATCGTCCAAGGATCACCACGCGAAAGACCGACTTTTCCACCGCGATAACAATCACAATTGATCGATCTTCTATATAATCCCTCCCGTCGTTCAAATATATTAAAATTAATTAATTAATTTGATAAGGTTTTGTGTTACAAAAAAAGAAGAAAAAAAAAAAAAAGAATACTTTGCTTAATGTCGAAACCATACTTGAGGAGCACGATGATGAATTCTCTCGAAACGAAATGAAAGGCAACGAGCTTAACTCCTTCACATCCAAGGCATTGACCGGTAACTTTTTTTCGATATTCGATATTGATTGTCATTATAATAGTAATAATAATTATAATTAATATTCGATCACCTAAGGTTCACTTACCAAAAAAGAAGAGGATTTCTATTGCATAGAAATGCAAGAAAATACGTTGCCCCCTGCATCACCCCCTGTTCTCTCGAACACTATCGTTATCACGGTACAGCCACAAGGTAGGTGATTTTAAAGTTATTTAGAATATTTCTATCAGTGAATTGTCTGTTCATCGATGATAGAATGTCATCTATGCTTCTTCGAGACAATTTTTTATAAAATTTATGTAATTTTGTTATATTTCATTAATGTTCAATCAAAATTCTCATCGAGGATGAACCTCTTTTATCTAGCTAAAAAAANAAAAAAAAAAATAACAATTTCTTCAACGTTAAATTAAATCTGATTTTATATCTCTGGATTAAGCATTAAAAATTAATCACCGAGATAAATATAATACCCAATTCTGTTTTCCTTTTGGCCAGGACAAATTGAAGAATTAAGAAGACCGATACCTGTGAACACGTTGGATTGGATATCGACTCCAAGATCGCAGCTGACCGTACTCTCGGGAAGCCATTTCTTGGCCAATGTGGAACAAGTGGAAATACAGCAGATTGTTGATTTAAGCACACGTTCGTAATTTGCTTAAACAAAAAACCAAGTTAACTTTAAATCTTTAAAAGAGCGAGTTAAATTGAAAAAAAAGAAAAATATTGCTTGTTCAAAATCTGTTTTCTATAATGTATAATTAAATATATGTACAGAATGTCCCAAGAAACATCTGAAGAACATCCGTTAATATTAAGAGATTAAGATTTTCAAGCAATACTTTCCTTTGCAAAAACATTCATCACGGCCTTATTAACGAATCATTAGAAACAAAAATCATTGATCAATCATAGAGCGCCGGAATATTATAGTTTATTCATTGTATAATTTCGTGTTATAATACGATATAATTTTTTATCGATAAAAAAATATTTGTTTTGTGTTCAACGCATTTTCTTCGACCATGTTGCTTGAATTTTTCTCGTGCCAACTGTGAACCAACGTTACTGCCACGGCTCGATTAAGTTACGCGATTGGTCAGTACTTTTTAATAATAACTCATCAAAAAAGTCGCGTTGAACGAGCATTGAGCACGCAAAGAGAAATATTGCAAAATTATCTCGCAAATGTCCAGGATGTAACGTATAGTTCCCATTATTTTTGGAACACATAGAGTAAGAGAAAAAAAAAATGTGATAAGTTGGAGGATGAATATTTGTATTTGTTTATTTTATTTTGGTTACCAGTACTTGGTAAGTCGGAAAAAAGATTCCAATACAGAGTAAAAGTGCCGAAAGCTGAAACTCTATTCTTGGCAATGGAAGAAAAAACCGAGAGCCAGTCAGGCGAATGGAATTGTTGCAACTTGATACGCGATGATCTTATGTTAAATGTCGTGGACCAATCTGGCCAGACTGCATTCGTCATAAATATGGATTCTAGCCTGACGTGTATTTTCAATAAATTACACGTGAGTTAAATTTTTACGACGGGATTTAAGTAAACGTAAACAAGTTGGTTCGGGTTTGAATCTTGGCAAGGAAAAAAAATGAAAATTTCGTTACAGAGGATGACGGTGAAGAGCAGAAATTTAATTGGCACGGTGGAAGAAAATTTTAACATAATAGGTTCAAGTTTCACCGTGTACGATGCTATACGGAACAAACTTTGTAACATATATGGTCCAAATGTGTGCGGTTGTTGTATGTATCGAGAAGCACAGTTTCAGGTCCGATTTAATCTTTATACTCACGTGTACATTTATTTATTTGTTATTTAGATATTAATAGGAATGAAATATGCATTGATTCTACAGGATCGATTTCCAGAAGTCGATAATTAAAATTTAATTATTAATTCTTGAGATGAGTTCAAATAATTTTTTCTCTTTGCAAATATTTTTATTTCGCGACATTATCATCGTGATCTGCACGCTCTGCAATTCTATCTTCCATATAAAACTGAAAACGAAAATTTTTGCGAAGAAAAAAATTTGCAATTACCTCAATAATCATCAATTAAACTTAATCACTTCTAATCGATTTCTAAAACCCACTATATATTTCTGAAAATAACAAAAATATTGAAGATGATCAAAGATAAATCTGTACTTACACATCATTTGTATATTATAGTATATTGATTTGTTTTAGGTAATTTCGATTGATGGTACTCATCAAATGGCATCTCTTATGCATCAGTGGGACAATAATATTCATGATTATGTATTATTAATTACATTTCCTACGGAAATGAACACAAAGCTTAAAAGTTTACTTCTCGCTGCAGCATTCCTTTTGGTATATTTTCTTTTATAACGAGCTTGTATTTTATTATAATAATTAATATTTACACGATACGTGACATTATAGTAGTTAAATTTAATTTGTTTATTATATTGCATGTTTTAGGAATATATGTATTTTGAACAAGTAAAAAGATTATCATCTCGAAATTAATTGTCAAAAAATTATGATATCGATCTTTAATAATTCTATTCTGTTCCGAAAATTGAAATGATTATAAATAATATATTTCATAATTAAAGTGATCAGCTTCCATAATGAATGTAATTTTTGAAACACAAACAGCAATGCAACGGAAAAATTCTTATAATTTCGAAAAGAAATCTTTATATAGTTTCTTCACTTTATTATTAGATATAAATTTTTGTATTGAATGTAAAAGAACTCAGATATTGGATTTTTTTTTTTTTTTTGAAAAATTAAATAAAAGAGAAGAATTTGAATCCAATCAAGTTCTGCCGATGTTCTTATCTGTACAAATAATAAAAATAAAAAGTTATGAAAGATGTATTATAAAAATATATATTTTAACAAATGTAATACTTTGTATTAATTGCAAAACACTATAAATTTATAATTCAATATAATTACAATATTTAGTTACTTTATATAATTATATAATTATATAATTACTATTTTTTTGTTTGTATTATTTTTTCTTTCTTTCCTTTATTGTTTATGTTTTTCTTATCTTTTATATAATGAATTTTACAAAATTCAAGTTAAAAATATTCTTTTTACTAATTTTATATAATTAAATTAATACTTTTTCATGAAAAATTATATAGTAAAATCAATTAAAAAAACTATACAGTTCCATTTAAAAAACATATTTAATCTTGTTGTATATATCGAATTACAAAAAAAAATTATATTAAATTAAAATTTTAATTATATCTTAATTTAATTAAATTTAATCCATTATTATTTATATCTTCTTCGAAATTCTTTAATTTTTATCTGAAATATTTTTTAAAATATTTGAGAATGAATTTCATTAAAATCATTATTCGAGAAGTAATCAATAATTCTATTCTTCAAAATAATTCTATTTATATGCTTCGTTTTATATTTCTATTTATAATTCTATTTATATTTTATTTTATTTTATAATGATTAGAATAAAAAACAGTATTGACATTCCATATAATATCCAAATATAATGCCAAATTTTAACTTTAATTATTTTATGTCTCTTTGAAATATATTTTGTTTTTAAATATAACACAATAATATAGTACAAAGATTTAATTAAAATTTTACTTATAAAGATATAAAATTTTGAAAATATTTTTACACAAATTGATAAAATTTGATAAAAAAATTTCAATAATCATAATTTTAAGAATTCATTGAACTTTTTGCAATTTTTATCAAGTTATATAAAAATATCTTTAATTATTAATTATTAAAATATCTTAATATTTTTATGTCGGAAGAATTAAAGTTTATCCTTTAATTTATTAATGAAAAAATAAAATATTAAAATAAATGTAATGTTATATCTATTCTTCTACAATATAAATATACAATAGAGAGTTATCACAATTTCGATTATTCCAATTATTAGCATTTCCGCATTGCATCATCCTTTCATGTGTGTAGATAATCCAAGCAGTAACAGTACTAGTGAATTATTTAATGTTATACTTTACCTATATTTTATATATATTATAAAACACATTTCAATTTACAATAATACTACTATTATATTCAATTAATAATTTTATTGTAATTTCTATAATTAATTATAAAATTGTAAACACACGTGTACTTTATTATACAAATAATTCAATTTTCCGAATTATTTTCGAATAATTGCCGTTCTATTATATTTCTAATCAATCAATTATCATTAAATAATCTAATATCTCTTAAACTCAAAAAATTTTAATATATACTGTGTAAGTAATAATAAATATTATATTTATTTCCTATATGTCGTTAAAAAATATATCTTCTTTTATTTTCCTATTTTAATTTTATTTCAGATTAATTTATTTGATACAAATTAACAAAATGGATTTTTTAACTATAATTGGAATAACAATTATAATTTATTTTTTTATTTACATTATATTCCCTTGGTTTTTGGATTGTGATTTCTGCCTTGCTTTTTATGAGAAATTTGGCAATCCTATAAGTATTGATATTATATATATTATAATAAAAGACAATGATTCTTATATAATATAATATTTTTGAAACATTTTTATTCTTAAATATTTAATATTTTTCCAATAGGTTCTTTAGAAGGAAAAATAGTATGGATAACAGGAGCATCAAGTGGAATTGGAGAAAATCTTGCATATGTACTAGCAAAGGCTGGATGTAAATTAATTTTATCATCACGAAGAGAATCAAAATTGGAAAAAGTAAAAGCTAATTGTTTACAAAGTAAAATATTTATATTATATTTATATATAAAATATTATTTCTATCAATTATTACTATCATATTTTCATTTTCACTTAAGTTTTTATTATTTTATTATTTATTTATTTTCAGAAAATAGAAATTTGAAAAGTTCAGACATTGAAGTACTAGTTTTGGATATTCTTGACATAAATAAACATGAATCAGCTTTTAATAGTATTATTACTAAATTTGGCAGAGTAAATACATATATGTTAAGTATTTTTCAACATGAAAATTCATTATTAAATTTTAATTATGTTTTAAATTAATTTTAGCTGGATATACTTGTAAATAATGCAGGGCGATCTCAAAGAGCAAAATGGGAGAATATTGAATTATCTGTTGATAAAGAAATGTTTGATTTAAATGTGTTTTCAACAATAGCCTTAAGTAGATTAGTAGCAAAATATTTTTTTAAAATGGATAAAGGTCATTTTGTAATTAATTCAAGTATTGCTGGTGTTGTAACAGTACCATTTTCTGCTACATATTGTGCATCAAAATATGCTTTACATGTAAATATTTTAATTGAAATAATATAATATTTTAATTGTCAAAGATATATATCATTTTTTATATGTAGGCATACTTTGAATCTTTATCTATTGAGAAAACAAGTAAAAATATATCTATTACCATAGTATGTCCAGGACCAGTAGAAACTAACTTTTTAGCAGAATCATTTACAGATAAATCTGGTGAAGTATGTTTAATTTGAATTTTATCTTTATGTATATCTTATATATTTATATTTATAATTCTTTATATGTTTTACACAAATATATTATTTTTTAGAAATATATAGTAAATGAAGAAAAACCAACACACAGAATGACTGCTGAACGTTGTGCTACATTAATGGGAATTGCAATAGCAAATAAATTGTCTAAAGTGTGGATTTGCAAATCAATTATACTTCAAATGGTGTATTTACGAATGTATTATCCAAACATAGGAACATGGTATATTGGTAAAAATTATTAAAATTTTAATTAAAATATAATTTATAATTTTACAAAATTATTTTATATTTTAGGATAATTAATCAATTGGGAACAAAATTTTTACATTATTTACGTGATAACAAAAAAACTATTAAAAACAATTAAAATAAATATTTTTTATATTTGTTAATATTTTATAATATTAATTTAATATTTTATAATATTAATAAAATTTATAACAAAATTATATAGATTATGTAATATAGTATAAATTATGTATAAATTCAGTATGTTATGTAATAAAATTATTACATAGATTAAAATCAGAGCAAAATTATACTCAATATTTTTTTATTTTATTAATATGGTTATATTTGATTTATTTTATAATAATAAATATGATAAATTTATTTATCATATTTTTGTATTTATATTATATTATTCTAATAAATATTATATTATGCTTCATTTTTTGCAAGCATTTCTTTTCTATATTTCTTTCCTTTCATTATTGCGTTCTTAAATAACTTACAATAAAGTTCTATAGCACAAGGTGTATCATCATTTCCAGGAACAGGATATGTTATAAGTTTAGGATCACAGTTTGTATCTACAATACCAATTGATGGAATACACATTTTGGCAGCATGTACCACTGCTGTATGTTGTTTAACAACAGATTCCATGGTATTTAAAAATATACATAAATCTGGCAACCTAGTAACTATTCCAAATTCTTGTACAGAATTTGTAAATGTTCCAAGATTCCATTTCCTAGTATGAGCATATTCTTGACATTCCTTTGCAGTATTTTCTACAAGATAAGAAATTTGAGGATTTTTTGCTATAAATAAAATTATTCCATCTTTAAAAGCTATATGAGCTGTGAAATTTAATGCCTGTCGTAATAATTCAGCACTTTTATCTAAATCAATTATTAAATGACCTAATCTAGATCCAAATATAAAAGGTCTCATATGATCATTTAAAGATCCTTCTTTATGACCAAAATGTACTTTTGCATCAAATAAATCTTTAATGGTAAACATGTTATAAACATGAAAAAAATCTGGATGACTTAATGGATCTATTTGATTTAGATCATCTGAAATTAAAATATTACAGATTTATATTTTATTAATAAAAATAAAATATTAATAAAGTATGAAGAAAAATAAATATTAAAATATTTACCATGTGAAATTTCTTGTTTTGGTTCAGCTGATGTTGATAATTTATATTTCGGAAGATATACGAAAAATGATCGCAAAATACTCGAATCCCCGCATACTACAAAAAATGTATTTCATATTTAAATATATTTAAGAAGATATTAAAAAAGAAAAATGTGAATTAATAAAGATATTTACATTTAAATGAGAATGTTCGTGTAATATTAGAAATCATCTTGATTTTTTCAAATAAAAACAATTGTATTATTCAAATCGTTCTATGTAATAGGTTAGAATTGTTTCTTAATAATGTTATTTTATTATGTTAAACAATATTAAGTATTAAATTTTTTTGAAAATTTAAAATAAACATTAACATTGCAATATCATATATTTCATTATACGTTTTTTCATTATAATTTCGGTATATACATAAATATATTTACACGATAAGAATAGTTTTACAAGTTCACAATAATATCTCTGAAAATAAAGTATTGCACAATTCAAATATATAATGAATTTAGTTTTATATGTTTAAATATATAAATATAATAAAATATATATTTTATTTAATTTCTTCATAAAAAACTTAAATAGATTAAATAGATTTAATAAATCAATAATAAAACAAAACAAATAAATAAATAAAGAATAAGAAAAAATGTATATTGTAATAGTATTAATATATTTTATTTTAACTTTAAAATTATTTACAGCTTAAAATGAAAATGAATACAATATTAATATATTAATTTTATTTCTTTTAATAAAATATCTTCTTAATAAACAAAAAATAATATAATTTTAAAATGTAGAAAAAATATTTAACAAAAGCTGGAATAAATTAAAATTATATAAATTTTTTAATTTTTTATTTTTACATATTGTTTTCTAAAAAAACCATTTATAAAATAAAATAGATTCAAACAATTTTAATATTTAATATTTATTAAAAAGTCACATAAATTAAATAAATTAATATATATTATTAAACTTTATTTTATATTACACGAATAATAAAATATACTTATAAAAGATATTAGAAAAATCTTTTTCTTTTTATAAAATTGTTTTGATATAACATAAAATTCCATACGATGGTAAGTCTATACTGTATTCCATCCATGCTATTGTTGTGTAAAACATTTAATAATATTAATACATAATATATCAATGATGAAATTTTTGAAACAATTTTATATAACATAAATTTCATATAAACAGAAACAAATATTTATTTAAATGATAAGTGTTTTAAGTATTTTTAGTAAGATATCGATAATATTAATATATTTCTGTGTTTCTTTGATTGAGTGAAAAGTTATATATAACTTTCGATAAATATTCTATAAATATACTATATTCAATATATATTTTTATATATAAATTTATATTTATATATTTGTCACATAAATATCATAATTTTGTGATGAAAATGAGTGGCGAAGAAGTTTGGGATGTAGAACAACATAAAACAGAACATGAATGTGACGAACATTGGGAACTTAAACGCAAATTTCTTTTAGCACATAAAAATAAATTTCCAGAAGACGAACTCGTTTGTTTAGCCCAAGTATTTACGAACATCGAATTACTTGGCTGCAGGTAATTTAATATAATTTAATATTTATAATCTTTTATGTTTATGTATATTTATTTTTAATATTTAACTTAGATATCCTAAAGAGACAATGCAGTTGGTTGCAGAATTAGCTCAAGATATTGTTAGTGAATACAGAGAAAAACAAAAGAATAAATTGCAAAGAACATTTGTAAAAGCTTCTGATGCTGCTAGTTCAAAGGTTAAAGGTATATCTAAGAACTGTGAGTTCTATTATATGTTAAATAATTATAAAAAAGAAAAATTGTAGAAAACATATTTCAATTTTAAATACATATTTTTAAAGAATATGTTTTTAGGAAATATTGTCCCAACATCAAATAATATAGTTGAATCATCAACACAATCACAATGTATAAAATCATTTAATGACACATCTCACAAAGTACTTGCAAAACGAAGAAAATTGGAAAAACCAATATTACCATTTGGTAATATTGTTATAATAGAAAGACCTGGAGATATACCACAAAATATACTTGCTCATGCAGTTAACGCATCAGGAGGAAATTTAGAATGGAAATTTGATAAAATTAGAGATTCTTGGTATACATAATTTTTTTTTTTATTTTTCTTTTTTCTCAGGATTATTTATTTTTCTTTTTCTTTTACAGTAAATGCAATATTTTTGTTAATTCAAAGCTATTAGCTGAAGCTTGTGGTTCTAATCAAAAATTAGCAAAGAAAGAAGCATCTATTATTGGATTACATGAACTACAGAAACATTATTATACAATTAAGGTTTGCAATAAAGTTTTTTTCCCATTTTCATACATATTAAATTTTTAACTTAAAGCTTTATTTTAATACTTGATTAGATTAAGCATAATATAAATAGAAATGCCAATGTAATTGCAACAACAATGATAAACAATATATCAAAAGATAATTATATTTCTGATGACAATATTGGAAGAAAGTTAATGAAATTAATGGGTTGGAATGGTGGTGGTCTTGGTAAATCACAACAAGGAATAATAGAACCTATCATGTAAATGCAACTTATTTTACTTTGTGAAATATTCAATTATTTATTTATATTATTTATTTATAATTTAATTATATATTTATAGGATTAAGCATCAAATTAATAAAGAAGGTTTAGGATTAAAATCAAATTTTTGTTCTATGAATGACTTAAAATTTAAATGTAATGACATTATGAGGAAATATCTCACAGGTGATATGAGAAATGATTTAATATTTTCCAGTGATTTTACAAATGATGAGAGAGCAATAATCCATCAGTAAATATTTTGTTAATAAAAATTTTCAAAAAAAAAAAAATTCATTAAATTAAAATATAAAAAAAGATATTCAATATATCTTTCAATTTTTTTAGGGTGGCAAGACAACTGGGTTTAAAATCACATAGTTATGGCCCTAAAAATCAGCGAACGTTAGTAGTTTCTCGAAAAATAGATGTTCAAGATTTAGTTGAAGAATTAAGAAGTCTTGGAGGAATTACTAACAAATACGAATTAATTGAACCAACTGAGTAGTAAAAAAGAATAATACAATTATTTTTGTATGCAATATGTAAATTTTTTGCCAAGATATAATGCCAGTTGCAATGTGCACAAATTTTATGAAAATTAAATTAAAATATATAATATAAATGATAATTTAAAATATATATATATATTTCAATTTTATTGTTGTATTTAATTTTTATTATGTAAGTTATTTTATATTCTCTATTAGAATATATTGTCAAATAAATTAAATCTAAAATATTAAAGCATTATTCTTTTTATAATTTTCTTTTAGTTTAAAAAAAAAATTACTTATTATTATGTAATTCTATGAAATTCTAATTTTCTTCTTGAAAAAAAAATTGCACTATATCTTCTTTTTGAAAAAAAGTTCCTTGCGCTAATTTTTATTTTCGTATTCAAGTAGAAAGAAAAAGAAATTTTTAAAACAGAAGTAGAATATTTAATAATTACAATAATTACGAAGAATATATGTGTATATATGTATATATATGTATATATATATATATATATATACATACACATGCGTATTATATATATATATGGTCAGGTACAATTTCAATTTCATAAAATAAAACTGAAGAAACATTTATTTAATGATAATCGCGCGTTGAACTTATTTCCAAGAACATTGTATTTTGTTTTAATTGATAGAAGTACAAAATTTTAAGAAGCAAGATTGCTTACAAGTGTACGGGTACGTCGCAGTTGCCGTATAATAAGAATGCTTTGGCAGTAGAACAATCAGAAGTTGAAAGTAATATAGATACAATGGTGTGTTATTTTTTTATTACATTACCACACTATTTAAATCTTGATAACTAAGATAGTTAAAAGTGCTTATACGTATATGTATATTCGCTGTACATCTCATCAATTGACAGAAATATCTGATATGCTCGTACACGCCGTAATAGATTTTATATATATATAGAAAATTATTTTTTAAATATTTA